CCCTACTAAGCACCAGACAGTACTGAAGCCGCAGGATGCGCAGCGCGGAGTTGCAGACTCCGGCATGGAGATGGCCCTGGCGCTTTTAGCAGAGGAGGGTTTAGGGTTTAGAGTTTAGGGGTTTAGGGTTTAGGGTTTTAGGGTTTAGGGTCGAGGGTTTAGGGGTTTAGGGTATAGGGTTTAGGGGTGGAGGGCTTTAGGGGTTTAGGGGTTTAGGGTTTAGGGGTTTAGGGTTTAAGGGTTTAGTGGTTTAGGGTTTAGGGGCGAAGCCAGGGGTCACGTGTCTGGCGGTATCCATTTATCGGGTATTCCAGGGTGAGGTCACGCTGACAAATGGCTTGCACCGGGCCATAGTCTTTCTTGACCTTACAACGTTTTACGAGACGCTGACGCATGCTCGACTTATCCAATCCGCAAAGGAGCTCGCTTTCCCGGCATCTTTGCTATAGCGATACAGATCTACCGCGGAGCCAGAATCATTGCGGCCGAAGGCGCAATGAGCCCTGTATCGTTCACAAGCCGCGGAGTGGTGGCTGGGTGTCCGATCGCCCCGGCGTTGTCGAAAGCTTCCATTTGGAAGGCAAAGCCGCCCCAGCACTTCGTGGGATTCTACTTCCTTCCCGGGCATGTTGTACAGCCCATGCCGGCAGGTCGCGGACACAGGACTGGCGGCTGGCATGGACACCTGGATCGACGACATCAGCATCGATGCCGAGTCCAAAGATCCAGAGAAGGCCGCGCAGAAGATTGTGTCGCTTTACCGCACAATCAGCACAGGCTTAGGCCAAGCGGAGCTGCTCATCAGCTCCTCCAAGTCCGAGGGTTTTGAGTGTTTAGGGCTTCGGGTTTAGGCCTTCGGTTTAGCCTCTAGACAATCAGCGGTGTACAGAGACTTCAAGCAGAAGTAGTAGAGGTCGTCGTAGCAGTATCATTCGCGGCTTTAGGAATAGAGCGCGCGCGACATTGGTACGGCGAATCCAGTTGTTATTCTGATTAGACAGATTTACGCACAGTCGCAAAGCCCATACCCCCCCCCCAAATCTTAAATCATAAGCCTGTGCATAATCCCAGAGGCACAACGAAAGCCCTAAACCCCTAAACCCTAAACCCCTAAACCCTAAACCCTAAACCCTAAACCCTAAACCCTAAAACCCTAACCCCTAAACCCCTAAACGCCTTCTTCTGTAGCCTTTTGTTACGAGACTCGCAATGAAACCCGGCAGAAATCCTACAACCAGCCCAAAACCTGAATCTAGCGCCGTTTAGGGTTTAGGGGATTAGGGGTTTCGGGGTTTTAGGGGTTTAGGGTTTAGGGGTTTAGGGGTTTCGGGCTTAGAGGTTCAAGGGTTTGGGGTTTTCGGGTTTAGGGGTTTAGGGTTTAGGGGTTTGCGGGTTTAGGGTTTAGGGTCTAGGCTTTAAGCCCCAAGCTCTCTCCATCCTCACCCCCTTCATGCAGGAGGTGTCTCGATTGACGCGGCTGGGACTTCATGCAGCCGACAGCGTTTCGAAGCGGAGGCATCAGGTTTGCCTTCGTGTTTGGGTTTAGGGTTTCAGGTTTAGGGTTTAGGGTTTAGAGTTTAGGGTTCGGGAAGTGAGCCGGGGAGTACAAGGGGGTGGAGGGGAAGCCCCAAACCCTAAGATCCGAAACCCTGGTCCATATTCCACAGCCTAAGTTCTAAACCCCCCCTCTACAGCCAGAAACTCCGGGAAGCCTCAAAACCCTACACCTTGAGAGCCCTTCGGGTTCAAGAGGTTTCTGGGCTTCCGGGTTTGCAAGTACGGAGGTTGCTCTATTAGGGTTCAGGGCCAAAGTTTGGGGCTTAGGGTTTAGGGTCTTAGGGTTCAGGGTCTTGTCTGAATTCTACCCCTGTGGGATCTCCAGAAGAGTGCAGCGTTCTTTCCAGAAGACACTACGTAGGCCCTAAACCCTAAACCCAAACCTTAGAACTCCCTAAACCCTGAACCCTAAACCCTAAACCCAAACCTCAAAGCCCAACTCCCTAAACCCTGAACCCAAACCTCAAAGCCTTAAACCCGAAGCCTTAAGCCCTAAACCCTAAACCCTAAACCCTAAACCCTAAGCCCTAAACCCTAAACCCAAACCTTAGAGCCCAACAAGAGAGTCCCCAAAGGAGTTCTCAGGCGTCGAACGGGGCCCAAGGTTTTCCGGCTCTAGGGGGCTAAATGAGCTTAAGGCTTTAGGGTTTACGGCTTTAGGGGTTTAAGGGTTCAGGGGTTTAGGGTTTCCGGCTTTAGG